GTCAGTGAACGCACCGCAGCCTGTTTTCTCCTCCGATCAGCGCCTGTAAATAAATCCCACGGTCAGTGAACGCACCGCAGCCTGTTTTCTCCTCCGATCAGCGCCTGTTAATAAATCCCACGGTCAGTGAACGCACCGCAGCCTGTTTTCTCCTGCGATCAGCGCCTGTTAATAAATCCCACAGTCAGTGAACGCACCACAGCCTGTTTTCTCCTGCAATCAGCGCCTGTAAATAAATCCCACGGTCAGTGAACGCACCACAGCCTGTTTTCTCCTCGGATCAGTGCCTGTAAATAAATCCCACGGTCAGTGAACGCACCACAGCCTGTTTTCTCCTCGGATCAGCGCCTGTAAATAAATCCCACGGTCAGTGAACGCACCACAGCCTGTTTTCTCCTCGGATCAGCGCCCGTAAATAAATCCCACGGTCAGTGAACGCACCACAGCCTGTTTTCTCCTCCGATCAGCGCCATTGTGTGACAAAGTCTCTGGGAGGAGGATCGACGGTTTCCACGGGCTGTTGGTTCGGACCGTGTTTCCGTCGTGGACCGGGCTGGTTGAAGACCCTCTCATGGTTGTGTTTGGACCCCCGGCGGACCTGGATGTGGTGAGACACAGTTTTTGAAGCAGCAGAAATAAAGGCAGCGGCTAAGTGAGCTGATGAATAATTGAGACGTGACTCCTGTGGGCTGGTTCTGGTCGGTTCGTGACGGGTTGTCAGCGTGTGTCTCCGCTGTTTGCTGGTTCAGTTTGTGAACGACTGTTGTTTCTCATGGTGGAGAGTCTGCTGAACTTTTTCTTCTGTCGCTCCTGTTGTCAGTCTGTCTCTGGACCGATATAACTAGAGCAGTTTTAATAACTCGTCTTTAAACGTGTGTAAGTTCTGTATCAGGCACTGAAGTTCTGCCTGTCTGAACCCGGTTCTGTCATCTGCTGCTGCTGTAAAGAGATTTCGACCTTCTGCTCCTGTTGTTCTGGAGGGGCCTCTGTTTCGTAACTTGCAGCTGAGCAGTGACAGAACTTCCTCCTCCTCCTTATCTGACCCAAAAGCAGCAGCATGTAGGTCAGGTCCTGGTTCTGACTCGGTCTGGACAGACTCACCTGTTCAGCCTGAGCTCATCTCTGATGATGGCATGAAGACCTGAGGTCATGAAGGTTCCTCAGGAGGTTCCTCAGTTTGTCCTGGACTCCAGACCAAATGAGAAAAACACCAGAGTGAAGAGTTTGTGCAAAACGAGAGATTTGTGATGTTGAAAAAGAAGATGGAAACAAATGTTTGAGTTTTCAGGAGGAGCCATCAGAGAAAACGATTTGGAGACTAGTGTCAAGAGTCACGTTTCTATAAAAACCAAATCAGGAACAAGATCTGAAAAATCATCTGAAAGTCTTGAATATATATATATATATATATATATATATATATATATATAGTGCAGAAGATGTGATTTTTGTAATCGACCCCACAAGACTTGACTGATCTGTTAAATTTTAATTGACGAGTTAAAAACGAGTGAGAAAAGCTCATGTTGCAGCTGGGTACATAAAGTATGTCTGACACTCTTTAGAGAAGATACATTATTATAGTTATGATTATTATATCACCTTCTGCCATTCTTCAGGACTGAAGCTGTTTCACAGGAGCTGAAACCAGAATCTGCTCTTTGTGTCAAATGAAGTCCCAACAACACCTGAACAAACTTTCACTTTATCAAACACCAATTATTTTTTTTCTTTCAACTTTTCCCTCTTCAGGTGTCTCCACAGGAAGTCCTCCTCCACCTCACTCTGTCCTCACTCTGTCCTCTCTCCAACTACCTCCATGTCCTCTCTAACTGCATCCATATATCTCATCTTTGTCTTTTTCCTGGCAGCTGCATTTCTAACATCCTTCTACCAGTATACACACTGTCCCTCCTCTGGACATGTCCAAACCACTGTCCCTTCTCTGGACATGTCCAAACCACTGTCACTCCTCTGGACATGTCCAAACCACTGTCACTCCTCTGGACATGTCCAAACCACTGTCCCTTCTCTGAACATGTCCAAACCACTGTCCCTCCTCTGGACATGTCCAAACCACTGTCCCTTCTCTGGACATGTCCAAACCACTGCCACTCCTCTGGACATGTCCAAACCATCTCAGTCTGGCTTCTGTAACTTTATCTCCCAGTTCAACTTCTGTCTCCTGTCTTTTTGTCCATGTCTCTGTCTCCAGACCATACAACACAGCTGGTCTCACTGAAAGTCCCATGTGTTTCCATGGAGGGGGCAGGACTTTAAACTGGTCTTGGAAGCAGCCCACAGGGCGGATGTTCGTCTTGTATCAGCTGTGTGGACTTCTTCTGCTGTCAGTGTTTAGGGTCAGAATCAGACTGTTCAGGATTCAAACTTTAGGATGAAGGTGTTTAGGAAAGAACGCCATGTGGAGTTGACCACAAACTACAACGTAGTCTCGGACACAAACCGCCTCACACCCGGCCTGCTTTGCCCTCTGGCTGTGATTTTTGAAAGGACCTTTGAGGCCGACCTGCCGTAGTCCCATATCTAACGGAGGTGATAACTGTCGGCATGTGAAAGGATGAGCTGGCTTTGCAGCTGGAGTTCGTGATGTAATGATGACGGAAGACCTGTGCGACCGTCCGGCTGTGGAGCTGTCCGACAGATTTTATGCATCAACCTGGCTGCGCTACGCTCGACGCCTCTTATGGTGCAGTGATGCCAGCAACATCCAACCAAAGCTCGTGTCTCGTCGGTACGTGGCCCTCCTGGTTTAATGATTTGGACGGTGGTTGACCAGAGGCAGCTTAAAGAGGGACGTGTGTTTGCAGAACTGTTGCATGTGTTAAGCTGCTGTGTGTGCAGCACACCGTGCTACACTGCATTTGTCCTGCAATAAGCTGTTTGTCCACTGTTTGTGTGCACGCTGCAGTCAGCAAGTGGACACCTTTGTCCTCCCTGTCTCCACACAGATCAATGCTACCGATTCCTGGAGCTTTTACATGTTGGTCTCACAATCACAAAGCTGTTTTCTTCGCAGTGTTGACCTAAATCTGCTCGTCTTCGTCCCTTTGTCTTTGTACAGGGAGACATTTACTGTGTGGACGCTCTGATGGCCTTTTTGGATGCACACAGACCCCGATGATGAGTTTCTGTGAAACTGATCTGTTTATGTGTAAACGAGAGAGACTTTAAAAATCCTGAACACCTGGTTGTTTTAAACGCTACAGTGTAAACACGTCAAACTGAATTTATTTATACTTTGCGTGCTTCTACAACTCTTCTAACGCAATGGATAAATCTAATAAAGCGAGCGCGAGCAGTGCGCTGCATTATCAGTGAGTACAAATAGTTTCACTTTAGTCCCTGACCTTTGCACTCATTGTCTTTTATCTGTCTCTACAGCTGAGAGTTTTCAGTGAGCTCTGTAAACGAATCAGCTGCAGAAAAACTTGGATCCAGGTGTCACCGTCGCTGTAATTCATTCAAAACCAGGAAGTTGATCCTTTCAGGTGTCGAGGGCCGGTGTGACTTCAGTAAATGGTTCTGTCCGACCTGAGCTCACGTTTTTATCAGATAGGCCCCGCTTGTTTTGGAAGCAGCTCCTTTGTTACGTAAGAGACTGTGAATGGACTGGATCATGTGAGCCTTTCTGGTCACTGCAGGAAAAAGCACATAATTTCCAGATGTATGATCCTCGTCTTAAACCTTTCTTCATTTTAGGTAATAATGAAGATCTTTCATATTCTATCAGTTAGACTGACGGAGATGTGATGATGCAATGCATGATGATCATTTCTACAGTTATATTTGATCTTTATGTTTCCAACTTATTTGGTTTTGACAGACATCTCTTGGTCGAGCAGGTGGTAATCAGAACATACTGGACCTGTTGGTCAAAACCTGTGCTTAATTTTAGCCAGATCCTGCTGGAACAGGATCCGGGAACTCTGTTTTTATTTTATTTTTAAACACAACAGTCTATGAGCATACGAGCTGTCTCTTACAGATTGTAGTAAAGAGCTTTGAGTAGCTTGATATAAAAACACTGTATAAGTGCAGTCTATTTACCATTTCCACTTCTACCTAGGCCTGTCACAATATCAAATTTTGCTGGGCGATGAATTGTCTCAGAAATTATTGCGATAAATAATATTGTTTGAAATTTGACAATAATTAGTAATTATTTACATAATTGTAAATTCTCAACTATTGTATTAGTAATTATTGCCAAGTTTAAGAAGATATGTTGGTTAATTTGTTTTGAGTGTAGTACCTTTTTTGACCACTGGATGACAGTATAAGACTATTTGAACTGAAGGATGGATAGTGAGGGAGCGAGCAGTGTGTTTCTTTAAGAAAAATGGGAGGGAGGCCCCTTGTGACATGGGCTGTCTCTCCTTCCTGTTTTTTGGTTCTCAAAGTGGCGGACGCTCTGTGTGGTTTGAGCTCTTTAGCATAGCATTTGTCACAAAGCTTTTAATAAAAAAAATCAGTAACCAAGTTCTCAGCTTCTTTTTGCAAAGAAAAACAACTTTTTGCATGACTGTGAATTTTGGAGCTTCGACAAGACGGAGGTTTTTTCCCGAGGTCAGCCTGTTAGCTTAGCTTCTCGTCTTAGCTGCTTTTAACATTTTTGGAACGTTAAAACAGATTTTAAAGAGAAAAGGAGGGGTCAGTGAAGAGCACCGGAGATGAACCTTTTGTCATCCAGTGTCTTCAGTAGAAAGAGTGAGACGAAGAACCGATAAAGCCAATAAAAGAAAATGAGGTCGATCATTTTCATTTATCATGCGATTAATTGGTTTATTGTTTATCGCAACAGGCGACTTGTACCCTTAAAACAATCTCTGCCCCTAAAAGAGTGGTGGGGGTGACTGCTGAGCTAACCAGTCAGTTGTACGCGGGCAGGAGCTCACAGGCATCAGCAATGAACAGACGGAGGAGGCGCCTGGAGGTTTCACATGTGGAGTTGGACAGTGAATTCAGCGGAGAAGAGTCGGGCTCTGAACAGTCAAGTGGGGGCAGGGGGTGCTTGACAGAAACGGAGTGTTTACAAATATAGGTAAACGTAGATGTTTGACAACCCGTTAAAATACACCAAAATGCAGGAAATCTACTTTATTAAAAATTTTCGGGGGGAGGACCCCCACCCCCACCCCCCCAGCAGCCCTCCTGCTATTTGTGTTCCAACATTGATTGGTTTACAAATTAAGCCCCAGTCAAAACTATTGCAAGTAACTCGGGAAGTATCCTCCGTCTTGGAAATGCCACGTTAGAATCTTTTTTTTTTTCCATCTAACCTGAAATTACTTTGTCTTCATGTTTTTATATTTTTGACTGATTTTTATTGGCTTCTTCTGATTCATCATCTTTTCTGAAACATTCCCCTCAGCAGCCAGTGATCAGTAACAATGGACAATTTACAGGACAACATTTTGTCATTCTTCTGTTTGCCATGTGACAAAACATGGAGGCTCCAAAACAAGTATTCAACCACCCTGTTTACAGCCACTATACAGTTCCTGACATTCTCTTATTGATAATTCCAACAAAAATATTCCAGTTTTTTCCAGTGTAATTTTCTGAAAAAATCCCAGGAAATTTACC